TAATCTAAATAACCAGAACAGAAGAATAGAAGGTCATTCTTTTCATACAGTATGTTTTCTGACAGTATGCCTGACAATGTATGTCATCTTCCTAATACTGTATGGATTTTTTCCCTTTTTTGTTGTTGTTGTTGTTTGAAGTAAGGACAATATAAAAGGTATGCTCTGAAATGATCAGGGAATGTAGAACTCAAAGATTTTAGTCATGCAGCCATTGTTGGCAGATATCCTATACAACCTGCTGTTCTGGTGTACTAGAAGATACCAAAGTATCTTTGGTACATGTTATTACCAAAGGTAATATTAGAATAGGTAAACACTAGACTGTCATATAAGAAAAACAAGAAAGTAATATTGTTCTTTGCTACTGATACTGTTAGTAAAAAAATATATATATATATTTTGCCTGGTTCTGGTGTTTGCATACTACAAAAGATAATGCAAAGAGCTGTAAGAATGATCTGAATTCCTCAAAAAACAAGTTTAAGCAGTTTGATTTATCAAAGACACAGATTACACTGTGAACAAGTCAACTGTTTAGAATACATGTAAGAATGAGATTTATGATTTTGGATTTCTGACTGTCCTTTATTCTAAGGAAGAAGGAGGAGAAAAAAAATAAAATAAAAAAAAACAGTAGTGGCTGAAGCTGTGCAAATTCACACTACAAATAAGAGCAGACATTTTAACCAGGCAGATCAATGGGCATTGGGGCAATTCCATGGAGGACATAGCATTCAATTTTTTTCAGTCTGTGAGTTCTTGAAATGCTTCTCAGGAGAGCAAATGCCCTGCTCTTCACCAAATGCTGGTCTCTCGACAACATGCTTTCCTTTCTTTACTACCTTTCCCTGACCCGCTGCTGCTCATTAACCTGAGGACGTGAGTTCTTAGTTGCTAACACACATTGTAAAAATGTGCCTGTTTCTGAAAACGTATACGTAAACAGTTTTCTTAATGGAGAACTTACTGGTCATGGCCTTGTGGCCTGTGTTGTGCAGAAGTAGAACAAAGTTACTCTAATGTCCTTTCCTTGCCTTCAATTGCATTTTTATCTGTGGGGAGTTTTCTCTTTACTGGCAAAGTGCTTCAAGAATATCTAAAATTTTCTTGGTCCTCTGAAAGCTTGATGGCTTCTTCGTTTCTTTTTGACATTCTTCATTTGACAGTTTGCTTTGATACTTCTAGGCTGCTCTCTCTCCACTGTCTCCCCACCACTTTGGTGTTTTTTCTGCCATCTTAATACAAGTTTCATTTGTTATTTCTGGGTTTGATCTGGAATTTTCACACTTCAAGTTACATCTTTACTGTGTTTGGAACAAGATGGCACAACTGCTCTTAATTTGTTGTGTAAGTGGGCTACTGGACCCTGCAAAGAAAAATCTCATTTTTCTTTTTGAAGGATACTAAAGCAGAAAGATGAATTTGAGAATTAAGTGTAAAATTGATCCAAATGAGGCCTAAAAGTAATTCATCTTGCTGGGCAGCTGATGGAGTTAGAAATGCCTCTGTTAAATGTGTATAGCATGGAAAGCACGTTTCACTTACAGCTGGCAATTCAGTCTGAACTTTTGTGTTCAGATTTTCGCTTCTCACCAAAGGCAGTTACAGGTAGCAAACAGACTGTACTCAGATATTTGTCCAAGATGTACAGACTTTGCAGTGGTCTTCCCTCCCTGTCTTGCTTATCTTTCTGGAGTTAGGAATTATCTACTTAATTGGCTTTACTTTCTCTCTGGTAAATAAACTTGTACTCTTTGTAGCCGTGTTCATTGAGATTTATGGAAAAGGGCAAATACTTTTTAATTGCTAAGATAAATTGCTGTTCCATGACTCAGCAAGCACACTGAATACCTCTGCTTTGAGTACGTTGCACTTCGTGCAGTGCGAGGAACAGGTTTTTAGAATCAGCTAAAGGAAAAACACTTCCAAACCAGCAATGATATATATGTGACTCTGGTTGTCAGAAGATTAAGTCTTAAGAGTTGACAGAATATATGTTGTCATTACCCCCTTTAAAAACAAAATATTGTAGTTTCTGAACAGATTGGAAGAAAAGCCAAAAAATGAGCCCCTTATGGAGCTTTTCTGGACATGTTTCTTGGAAGCTAAGAGGTCTCTCATCGCCCTTTCCAGTCATGTTTGGCTGCACTCTGCAGACAGCACATCTCAGAAGAATGCCTCCCTGGGAAGATGAAAGAACTGAGCGCAATCTTTAGTCTTTAGTGCCATACATATTAAAATCTACATGTTACATAAGATAATGCAATAAATAACCAGTATGTAATTTTTCTGTACAGATGGAGGAATGTCTGAGATTCCATGTATGATTTATTTCAGTAAATACATCTCCAAATATTTGATGTATCATGATCTAATCTATTTATACTCATATTTGCTTTATTTGCCTTGTACGGGTTTAGTCTCACAAGCAGTGTCAAGATGCCATTCAAATTTAAATATATTTCTTTACACTGCAATTCTAAGCTGGTGTTTGTCACTCTTGCAGTGCTTACCTAATGAGCATTTAAAAAATAAAATAGCCAAAAATGAAGATACAAACCTTAGAGTACTGTACTGCTCAGAAGAAGTGTACTGGCTTTTTTTTTTTTTTTCTTTCTTTGACTCCACTAGTTAAGCTGTCGCTGGGAGGTAATGAGATTTTGGTAATGTGCTATTAAAACCGGATGTGCCTGGCTAAAAAGACGCTGTATTTTATAAGTTTATTTTGATAGCCTGTAGGTGGAAAGAACAGTTGAGCTCACACGGCTCAAAATATCAGTTGATTGCTGTACAGTAGCTGTTTGTCTGTCTGCTGATTGGGTAGAGCCGTTGCTGGGCTGATATTGTTTTGACCAAAATTAGAAAGTCAATATAAACGAGTCGAACGAGACTGCCTGCTTTTTTTCACTTCTCTCTTCTGATTCATCAGTTGTTTGTTTCAAATTCTTACAGCCTGTGTGAATTGGGGTTTGTGCCAGCAAAGGTGAAAGCGCTCAGTGGTTAGTCAGTAGGAACGGTCATAAAAATTTTGTCTGGGTGACATTTAGAAGCTAACAAAATAATGATGCTTATTTTTTATTTATTTTTAAGGGGTCCTGTGGAGTGATTGTATTAAACATAAAACTGAGAGAACCTGTTCCTCACTTAGGAGACTGCCTGATTCACAAATTTGGGGATAGCATCCACCTTCTTGCCCTTAAGTGGATGTTAGTGCCCGGGTCTTGTGGCAGAGACTTGAGACCTGAGACTCATTGGTGAAGTTGTGTGTGGAAGTACAGACAAATTCTCTGATTACTTTCAGTATTAATATGTATATTTTAACAAGTGGAATTGTGCCCAGTTAATTTATGTTACTAGTACCGTGTAGGATTAGAACAGCTGTGAATATTATTGTTGCATTTAAAGAAAGATATCAAGTAAATTGTTTACCAAAATCCTGGTCAGTGCAAGAACAGCAGTTTAGCAGCCAAGGGGAGACTGCTGTGCTGTACTTGAAACAGCATTTCTTCAATTGTAGTATTCAGATAAAGCCTATGGACTTTTTTCTTTGGAACTGAGTAGATTTTGATGCAAATGACAAAGAGGGAAATAGTGTAATTTGTTTATACTAGGATGAGTTCAGACTTTCTGTTTTTTGTTTTTTTTTTCCTTCCATACAGGTAGGTAACAAAAAGATGGGATGTTGTTGAAGAACACTTCAATTAAGAATGACTTCTGTTGCCAAAAAAAAAAAAAAAACAGTTCTATCTCAATATGTCTAAAATGAAGCAATGAGAGATAATGCAATGTTTTGCTGAAGGGGAGAGATAGGAATGCTTCAAGAGATCAGCTTGCTTAAATCATGAGATCTCAGGATAATGTGTAAAATTAGAAAGCAGGTCTCACTGCGAGAATAAAAGGGTAGCAATAACATATACAAAAGCAGAAAAAACGTGGCAATATGAGATGCAACTAGAAAGGGACATAAAAAAGAGTGGGAAAAGTGTCTCTGGCATATTAATGGTAAAAAGACAATAAGTAATTGCTACAGTGTTGAAAAGAGGATGAAAATTATTGACAGATAATACTGTGAATATTGAAGAGTCTAAGGCCTTTTTTTTTTTCTTCTATTTTCTGAAAGGGTTGCGTATAATCCAATGACTGACCCTATTCCAGCCCAAGTTCTTTTATCACTAAAGAATGAGCTAGAGTGTTTATAGAGTGTGTGTCTATAAGTGTCTTCAAAACAGCTAGGCTTGATGAAATGTATGCTTTGGTGCTTAATAAAGGGCTTGAAAGGCTAATTTATGAAACTTTTGAGAAATTGTGTGGGATGGCATGGTTGTATGTCACCTCCCTAGGAAGAGGAGAAAGAGGAGGAATGGGCAAGTAAAACAGCACTCAATGTAGATTAAATTTCTGGTAAATATCTAGAGCATGTACTTCAACTATATAGGCAATTGGACTCAACAAGGAGATGAGTAAGAGCTAACATGGATTTAACAGTAACAAATCAAGGAGTATTAGTTTATCTTTTGCAATAGATAAGCACTGAGATTCATTAACTCTGTTAAGATTGCTTGATACTTTTTAAATACTAACGCAGCTTAGAGAAAAGGGGAAGGTACTCTATAGACATCATAGCTGGCATTTACTTGCTTGAAAGATTAGTAAGCTCTGGCTCATATGATTATTCTAGCTATATGAAGTGCTGTTTTAAGATTACTGTGGATAAAAATAGATTACCTATGCCAGACATCTCATTAGTTTAGTATCATTAGTACCAAACTCTGGTGTTGTGCTGTGTTGTCTGTCAAATATCTTTAATTTCTTCTCTAACCAGGGCTACGAAAAATAACATTAAAAATTATTCCTATTTTTTCTTATTTAGCATTCTTTCAGATATCTGAACTTGCTGCCAGCTGAATTGTGAAGCAAATGAAATACTATCTTCTTCTTAAGCAGCTAATAGCTTCTAATAGTTTTCCTTGTAATGTGGTTTATTCGTGTTATTGCAGGATTTGGTTGTCCGCATTGTCTTCATTCTTGGGAATTTAACAGCAAATAATAACCAGGCCCGCGAGCAATTTTTTAAAGAAAAAGGAAGTGTTAACACACTGATATCATTATTCCAAACCTACCATCAAATTGATCTGAATGCAGAAAAAAGGAACTGTGAAAAAGGAGAAGAAAAGAAAAACCCAAAGTATCCTTCAGAAGCTGAAGATGTTCTTATGAAGCTGATCAGAGTGTTGGCCAACCTCTCCAATCATCCCAGTGTAGGAGCAGCCTTGGCAGCTGCTCATCCTGTTGCAGAATTACTTATCACGGTACTAGGTAATAAAACCTGTCTGGTCTGTGGAATCTGCAAGGAAAGTTCAAGATTTCATTCCTTAACCTTCTTTCTTAGAGTGAGCCATAACTAACTTGATCCTGTTGTTAAAATAACAGTGCTGCTGCTGATCCTCATAAATTGCGCTACGTAGAGACAGGAAAGCGTTGCTGCTTTGGTACCAACTTCTTAGTGTCTAGGGGGAAGAGGATGCTTCATTGTTTCATTCAATGGTACAATTTAAAAATTTGATCATTAAGGAAAAACAAACTAGAATTTTATTTTAAATATGTCTCCCCCTGAGCTCATACTATGAGGCATCCTTAACAAATGCTATGCAATTTGCATTGTTATTTTTTCAGATTTGCAGTTTTTGTGACAGTTCTAAATTATTTTGGAATTATCCTCCCCTGCCCATTTCACCATAACTGTTAGCCTTCTCATAAAACTTGTCTCATTGTGTGTAGGGTTTTTGTTTGTTTGTTTGTTTTGAGGTTTCCAACCTTGATATCTTTTTGAGTGGGAGGTAGTTTCTCTTTCTCTCCAACCTGGGATTTAGGACTGCAGTTCCTTATTGCTCACTGTTCCCTTTATAAATTTAATTATAGGCTAGAGCTGGGGAGTCTGTTCTCCCAGTAACAGAGTTTAGCAGTGCTAAGATGTTTGAGGACTGTGTTTTTTAGTGTGTGATGAGAGCATTAAATACTGTGTAAAGCAGTCAGCCCACTTGTATGCTAGTTAGCTGTGTTGGCCACCAGGCATGTGGGATTTCAGACACACTCAAGTCCATAGACTCTTTCTTATACCCTGTGAGAGCTTCCTGGGTCAGCAGTCAGTTTTATAAGGATGTAAGTCTCAAAGCTTGTCTCTGGCTTCCTCCCTGAACTCTGAGCTTCATCTCAATTAGTTTCCTGCAAGATGTTGTCTCCTTGTGAATGAAACCTCTTTTAATTCCTTTAGGTGAATGAGATGAATCAGTATAACCATTTTTTAGACTTTGTCAGTGTACCAGGAAATTTTACGTTGATTAAAATTCCTTCTGTCAGGATCTCATAAGAGAGAGGGCTCCACTGGGTTCCACGGTACAGAAAGGATGTGGAGCTGCTGGAGAGAGTCCAGCGCAGGGCTACAAGGATGATCAGGGGACTGGAACATCTGCCCTATGAGGAAAGACTGAGAGAGCTGGGAGAAGAGAAGGCTGAGAGGGGATCTAATCAGTGTCTATAAGTACCTCAAGGGAGGCAGTGAGGAGGATGGTGCTGGCCTCTTTTCAGTGGTGGCCACCGACAGAACTAGAGGTAATGGCCACAAACTGAAACACCAAAAGTTCCACAGGAACTTAAGGAAAAATTTCTTGACAGTGAGGGTGACAGAGCCCTGGAACAGGCTGCCCAGAGAGGTTGTGGAGTCTCCTTCTCTGGAGATCTTCCAAACCCGCTTGGATGCAGTCCTGTGCCACGTGCTCTAGGTGACCCTGTGTGTGCAGGGGGGTTGGACTAGATGACCTCTAGAGGTCCCTTCCAACCCTAACCATTCTGTGATTCTATGAATGTTTCAAATAATGTTGAAGTTGTGTTTTTTAATGTGTCATAGTGCCCAACGTTTCTGTGTCTGTGGTTTGATACCTAGCTCGGGTGTATTCCTGTGCATGGGCTTTTTGCAGTTCTTTTTGGTGGCTTTATCCTGAAGTGAAAGTTTGAAAGTCCATGAGAGAAGATTTGAGCGAGGTTGAACTTTTCTAAGAGTACTGGTCCAGGTGACTGGAGCAGCAGCTATCGGGCCATAGTCGTAACCCTTTACGGGTCAGGCAGATTGGGAAGAGTCTTAACTGGCCTGGTTCTGCAGTCGTGCAACCTGTGATTCTGTTTGCTTCTCAGCTGTGATGCCCTTCTAAGTTTGACTCGTGTCATATATACACACATATAATATATATATATATATTTTTTTTAATATCAGAGTACAAGTCAATTGATGACTGTGAGGAGCTGGTTATCAATGCTGCAGCAGCGATCAACAATTTATCCTACTACAAAGTGAGGAGTTCTGCAATTGAAGACAAGAAGCTACATATTGCAGAGAGTAAGGACTTTGAATTCAGTATCTGTGTAGCTTTCTGACAGTGGAAATTATGTGTTTGATAGCTCATAAAGACACTGGTAGTATTTTGTGGTATTGTAGTGCAGGAATATGAGTTTTATAAATTCTTCTAGCAATTTGTAATTCTTGGGGACTACAATTCTGTGACTTGTGTGGAAATACTTGGATTGTTGAACAAAACCCTTCTTTCTCTCCCCAAGTGATTTACACCATGCTGTTTTTGGGGTAGCGACTTTTGCTAGACTCAAAATCCATATGCCTGAACCAAAGTAATCACATTGCTTTTCACATCTAATTGGAGCTACTTCAAATATGTTATCTTTTTTCCTTCTTCTTCCTACTACCTTCTAGACCTGCCAACTCTGACTTTGTTTCTGGCTGCTGAATCCTTTGCCTGTGTAGGAATGGTGTGAGTTCTCAGTATGTGCAGTAGTCATATTTTAGTGAGGTGTGGGACCTGCCTCTGAGTTCTGCATCATCTATTAATGTTTGTTCAGAAGATAGAGTCTCTGCCTTGAATACCTGACTCTCTAACTAGATGAGATATGGGGAGAGACAGAGGCTGAAGTTTTCAGAGTAGAATTAAAGAGCAGAAAGAAAATATTCTATATTCTGTCTCTCAACCTAGTGCCCTGACTTGCTAGATGTCACTTCATCCCTAGTGAACAGTTCTGCTGTTGTCTTGTGAGTCACTTTATTCCCCAGGAATAATGTTCTCTTACTGCCAGCTGCAGAAGAATGAACTTCATAGACAAACGCCTTAGTCCTTTCCCTCTTCCTTCTGCTCTCCTCCTGTTCTTGTTGTTAGCATGTGGTGCCAGTCCCATCGCCTTCCCTCTGCCTGAACTGCAAGGACAGAGAAAACCTTTTGACAGAAAACCTCCTCCAAGAGACGTTTTGAGAATACTTGCAAGTGGGTGGTTCTCAAAGACAAAAAATAGTCATTCCAGATATCTCCCTGAGACAAATTCGAGGCGTGTTCCATATTGCAGCCTTCAAAGAAGGAAGTGATGGCAAAGAAGCCAGTCTCTTCTTTCTCTTCTGTGGTGGAAGGGCTATGAATTAACTCTTTGAGTCATTTACATGTTTGATTTCAGTGGTTCCTTCTTCATCACAGAAGACTGGTAAATGTGGTTTCTGTGCACGTACCAAAAACCTATGTGAGGTTGCCTTTTGTAGGGGAAGCTGAAGTCTCTGTTGCACGCTACTCGTATGCGAAACTGTTGAACAACAAAGCAGCAAAGAAGTAAATATTTCAGACCGGGGCAATATTAAGTAGCTGTTCAGAGAAAATGTATTTGCTTGTTATAGTAGCACTGGGAGGAAAATACAGCTAATGTCAGAAGGTAGTTTGAGTTTAAGCAGATGTAGTATCATAAAACCTTCTGTTCAGGGTCTAGTCATTTCTCTCATGCCCTATGACTTTTTTTCTTCTTTGCTGGAATTTCACATGAGCCCAGTCAAAATTGTACAGCACAAGTGTTGTCCACGATTCCGACTGTGCCTAGGCTGTCTTCACAAGTCCTCCTCTGTTCCTTCTCGCATAACCTTCTCATTGGAGCTCTTTGTCTCATCTTCAAAGCTTCGCACAATTTAGCTGTTGTTCTACCATCTGCTCACCCCCTCCCCTTCATTGCAACCAGAGAGATAGATGTTCACATGTATTATGTTTATCCGTTGCTGCTGGTGTTTATTAATTAAAAAAAAAAAACAAGCATGTGCTTGTGATATAGCAGTAACTGTTTCTATTTCATTTCTCTACAATCCAATAGTGCTTTTAAAGCTGTTAATGAGCAACAGTATGGATGGAGTTGTGGAGGCTGTAAGAGTCTTTGGCAATCTTTCCCAGTATCATGAGATATGTGACTTCATCATACAGAAAAAGAGTGAGTTACTTTTGTACTTGGAGGAATGCTTTTAAAATGTCTGTAGCTCTAAAAATGAGGAGTTGCTAATAAGCTGTCTCATTTGAAGGGTAAAAGCAATATTATCTCATGTTTTGTAAATGGTGCAAATCTTAGACTCAAATAGCAGTTATTATAAACACAATTTTATTTCAATTTCATTAAAATGAAAATTATTGGAGTAGGATAAATGTCTCTAGCATGTGCCTTTATGAAGTTAAATAAAACCAAAAGAGTTGCCTAAATTACGTAAAATAATTACCTAAAAATGCCTAAAAATAATAATTTTGAAGTTTTTGTTCACTCTGTTCCTCAAGTCCTACAGGTTAGTAGTGATTTGATATAAAATGAAAATCCACCTTAATTCTCCTTTAGTTTCATAATTAAGTTTTTGATTATACCATTTAATACCTTATAGCACTTTGTAACATGTGCTTAAGATGATTGGCCACCTCAGCAAAGAGGGACCTCCTGTTTGCCTCTGAGTAGTGCACAAGCCTTCTCAAGTGCTTTTCCTTTTGGTGTCTGAAGAGCTTTGGGTAACATGACAGCTCCTTGCTTTCCAGAAGTGATGTGTTACAAAAGTTGAATTAAACAACAATTCACTCTAACACATTTTTTGCTTTTATCTGACTGTGCTCCAAGTGAGAGGATATGCCACAACATGAACCCCATATGAGGTGGACATACTTCTGCTTTGGGAGGAGAAAATTCTCTCTCAGCTATACCCTAGAGCTCATACTTGGTAGTGGTTACTAAAGAGCGGTCTCTGTTGGAAGAGAGAGTCTTCCAACGTGGAGATATCAGAGCGTGGGGCCCTGAGCTCAGGAAGAGCCAAGAGGCTGCTTCTCCACTAGACAAGACTGACTCCCTTGCTGGGACTAAAAAAAACTGCAGAGTCCAGTGAAAGTGCCACAACATTTGGCAAGTCCAGCATCTGCTTCTTGAATTTTGCTTCTAGAATGCTGCAGTTGTTGAAGAAACGGGTGTTGAGCATGGTGTAATGGTTAGCACCACTTCCTGTGCTTCTTCCGGCAGCTTCATAGCAGCAGGCTACTGCGTTATGTATTTGGGTAGTAGGTCCTGCTTCAGTGAAGCACATCTCACTGCTTTCTGTGTATACGTGTTTGGTTAGCATGTTGTAATGTCACTTGTATCATAAACTTCTTTTTTCAATAATTTTGTTTCCTTCTTTACAACCCAGTTTACAAGTTCATGATTGCTTTACTTGATGCCAAGAATCAAGATGTCTGCTATTCTGCTTGTGGAGTTCTGCTCAATCTCACTGTAGATAAAAACAGAAGAGCTCTGCTGAAGGAAGAAGGAGGAATTGGGAAGTAAGTCCTTGAGTGTGTTTACAAAAAAAAAAAGACAAGTTCCACAAGTGTGGACCAGGGGTTTCAGACAGATTCTGTTTCACTGGGGCCAAGCTTGTAAAAGAGATACATACTGAATAAATACTCAGGATCTAAGTCTTCAAGAGCTTTATATATTCTTCCAGCATTTTCTGGGGAAAGCACTATGGTGTGGTTGAGCTTCTTCCTGCCCACCAACAAAGAAATAAGGTTCCAAAGATCCTCATGATACCTCTCTCGGAGGAGAGTACCATACAATGCAGTAACTAGGGCATGACTTTGCAGGAGCTGCTCGTGCTGTGTTCAACTCAACCAAATCCTTGCGAGCTAAATCTGCACTTAATAAGACACCATTACTGTGTGTGCATTGCAAGCGTGAAGATTATTCAGGAACTATTTTACCCTATGTGATCTCTTGCAATTTTTATAGCTACTAAGTTGGAGCTATGTGATAAGGCCGTGTTCAGCATAGAACAGCTTCTAGGTCTCCTCTCTCCGTGAGTTCAGGTGTAAAGCTTGCTAATGGTGTAAGTGGTATTAGATGTTGAAAAACCACTGAGGATGCAACGCTTGTGACTTTGATACTCAGATAATAGCAGATACACTTTAATTGGAGCAACATGAAAGATCTTGTTCTGATGCTTGTAAAGCTGTTGATACAACCCACATTTATGAAGCAATATATCTAGCTTTGAAATGCATTCAGGTTCATACACTACACAATTATTTCTTTTATGCAATGTAAACAGGGCATCTTTCCTTCCTAGGTTCTGGTTATATTGCAAAATTTGAAAGCTAAAAAACAAGAGTAAAAATAAATTGCAGGCTAATTAAAAATAAATGTTAGTAATTTCAATAACAGGATTTTCCATATGCTTTCTGAAATTTTTTGAAGAAGGAAGGAAATATAGCAACAATATGGAATAAATCTAGAGGATATGAAAGTAACTGTTGAGGAGGTCATCCTGACCGCACAAAACCAGCTCTGTGGATATTTAGAAATTAGGTTATTGTACAAATATGTAGCAGCCGTGATTATGCATGAAATTAGAGTCATCATCATTAGTCTCATCAGAGAATTAAACTTCTAAAAAATAGAGCAAGCTCTTTTTGCTTTTGATGGATGCCTCCTGGTCCTCAACAGTGACTGCCTTTGGAGAGGAGAGGCATTTGGCCTCTTTTTGATTGCCTTTCAGTTATTGATGTTTTTGAATACCTGAATGTAATAGGTATCACCTGTGTTCCCTTTATTAATCATAATTTTATCAATTTCCCAGTGAAGTTGGGGAGAGAGAGGAAGTGGGGGCCCTGGGGTGAGGAGGAGACCAGCAGTGAGCAGATTACTGTTGGAGAGATCACTAGGGACAGCAGGTGAAGAACAATGTTTGCTTCTGCTGCCCCAGGACTCGTAAAAATACTGCCAGTTGGTAACGGGAACACTTTATGTAAGCAGATGTAGGCAGCTCAATTCCAGAGTCTTCCTTATGCTATAGGCTGAATTTGATGTCTGCGAGGAAATGATACATTGGGAGAAAGGTTAAGAAGTTAATGGTCCTTGATAAAACAGGCACTTCTGAGAGGAATCCATTGGGAATGCAGGTTGAAGGATTACAATAGAAGAACGAAAGACATCTGCAAAATAGGTCAGACTTCACTGAATGTAACATGTAATTCTGAGCCACGGAAATAGCAGTAAAAACTCTCTTCTTTTGGATTTATTTGTTCTGGTTACATTTTCTGATGTATACTAAGCTGAAAGCTCTGGCTGAAACTTTTCCTTAACTCTTCTTCTGATTCGTGGATGGACTCTTAGTGTGGTCTAGCTCTCTGCAGTTTCTCTTCTAGTGGTGGTGATTAGAGTCAGTCACAGATTATAGTGAAATTTGTCAAAATTTGCTATATTTGAGATATTAAACTTCTTTTTTTTTTGCTTTATACTTGCTAGTATTTTGAGATGGTTAAATAGAATGATGATGATTGAAAATGGCCAGTTGGGTTCAGAAGTTATTGGAGATAAGAGCATTGAACAAAATCATGGTTTTGTTTCATATTGACAGGTTAATTGATTGTTTACAAGATTTTGGGCCAGCAGACTGGCAGCTGGCATGTCTGATATGTAAAACCCTGTGGAACTACAGTGAGAACATCACAAGTACTGCCTCGTGCTTTGGAGAAGATGCTGACACACTTCTAGTGCTGCTCACATCACTCTTAGGTGAATTTTATATATAGAGAGAGAGATAATTCTTAATGTTTCTTACTCTTTCCTCTACATTTAATGCTGGTTCCATCAATTAATTTAACTGCAGAGTTGAGGCTGGGCAGTAATTGAAACTTCATTAACTTGTACAAGTCATGAATTGGAATATTCCAGTCACTGCCTGGTAATGATACTTAATTAAAAATACACCAGAATTATATCAGAAAACTAGTCTTCCTCTGAACTGTAGTCAGAACAGTAACTGTAGAGAAGGCACATCTCAGCACACAGAGGAAGCAGATCTGATGTGTAAGAACCAACAAAGTGAGGAGGAGCTCAAAAAAATGGAGCACGGGACTGGAGACCCAGGTCACCTGCTCTCGTTAGGGCTCCTGTCTTCCCCCTTTTTTTCTTTTTCCTGCCTGGAACAAGATGACAGAAGATATAATGAGCAATACGATGGGGAGAGGAAACAGCCAAACAAGAGTGTTCCTAGGGCCAAGGAAGCCTGGATAAGAGGTGTTGTTCTTTTTCTCTTCCCCTTCCTGATGGCAGCAGCAGGCTGCTTTCCTCCCACACTGTCACTGCTTTTCTCTCAGCGAGAGGGATTTCAGCTGCTTCTGAGTCTCCTGCCCCTTTATTGTCTCCAAGCTCCGTGAGGCTGATGTTTCCTTCTCCTGCACATCAGCTTTGCTTTGACCCAGTCCCTCAGGAGCAGCAGCACAGATAAGCCTAAGTCTTGGAAAAACACCTCTGAGCATGGGCATTACGTGCTGTTCAGTGCACAGGGCACACTTCTGTCTCCTTGCTTCTCTCTTTTCAAACTTCTCTTCACTTGCCCCTTCACTCTTAATTGGGTAGTCCCTGCAGACTACAGCCTGAGTTCTGGATTTCAGGTTTCCCTATAGCATGCAGACCCAGTGTGCCTGAGTTGTCCACATGCTGTTTGGTCAGCACCCAATTTTGCTAGTTTTGAGGAGAGTCCCAAGTAATTGTCTGAAGAAGCACAGCTTCCATGGGAGACGCTTATCCCCAGGGTTGCTCTGGGAGATGTACTCTTTTGATTCAACATTTCAGCTTTTGAACTGGTTCTGCTCCTTGTTCTTGTTGGCGGGCATTACCAACCCCAGAGATTCCATATTTTTGGCTTATGGGCACCCTTGTCAACACTGGTGAGTCACAGCTGTCTAATAAAAAGGAGAAATGATTCTTCCTGTGTGTTAGAAAATAATGAATTTGGATATGAAAACCATTCCAGGAGTAGGCAAAGCAATTCTGCCTGAAAACAAAAACAGTAATCCCTTATCTTCTTCTTCAGGGTCTATTGCTCATTTCTTTACTACTGAGATTAAATTTGCATGTGTTAGGCTACAGTGACATTGATAGGGCAGGAGCCAGTGGGCATGAATTGCAAGCTGAAACAATTCCAATTAAATATCAGGGGAAAAAAAAAATACCATGTGGGTGGTTAAGCACTGGATGAGATTGCCCAGAGAGGCAATGGATTCTTCTTCTCTGGAGATGTTCAAAACTCCATTGGACTTAGACTAGAGCAGCTTGATCTAAGTGGACTCTGCTTTGGGCAGGGTGGCCCAGCTGTCCAGAGCTGTCCTCCAGAGGTCCTTTCCAACCTAAATTATTCCTTGAGTTTGATGAATACGGTTTTGATGTCATAGGCTAGAATGTATCTCTGGCTACAAGGCTTCTTCCTGCAGAGATGTGATGTGTTTTCCTTAATGCAATCTCTTCCTTTATAGCTGGCACAACTCAGGCCATATCCTCTACCTAAGGACCGTTTCATTCTTCTAAATGCAAATAGTTGCTCTTCTAAATAAAGTTTCCTAATAAAATTTGATGATAAGTCAAACTAACAAAGTAGGTAACTAAGTCTCTCTTCAGCTTCAGTTTTGTCCCATGCTTGCTGTGGATGTGCAGTGAGCTCTGTTACAGAGTAATGGGCTTAACAGACCTAGTGCTCTTCCACAGTGTAGAGCAGAGATAAGTCACACTGCCCGTTGGGTGGAGGGCTGTATTTTCATTTTAGGTCAGTCTGGGGCCTGAGGGCTGTCGAATAACCTTTCTCTTGAACTGTGCCAAGCTCCTGGCTTCAAAGCATTTGTTCACCTTTATCAGTTGTATTTGTAATGCAAATTCCCAATTCAGGAGCCTGCTTCCATTTGGAGACTGGTTTCTTCCTCCTGGAAGGGTTTACTTCCTTGCTATGTCCAAAACCAAGAAAAATGGAGGAGAAAGAACATGTATAAAGCAAGACAGCTTCCTTTCATTCCTAATGTTTCCTTCCTCTAGCTGTCCTAATATCTTTAGGAAGTATGTGAGGAAAGGAGAGCACCAGTATTATACTAACGTGGTCCGTGTGCTTGAGGGTATGTGGAAACGGAGTGCATAAGCCCTGTTAAGAAAGGGATCTATGACAGGAAAATAAAAGCATAGCTGTAGCTAGATGCATTGGATTATTGACTTACTTTAGCAAAATCTCTGTGGATAATGTTCAAACTCAAGTAGTTTCCAGGCTGAGTCACAATAAACGTGACCTTGGACACATAGCTCTGCTATTACCTTTGAAGTGTGGTAACAGTGGAACCCACAATTTTTTTTTTCTTTTTTTTTTTTTTTGACTGTTGCATCCTTTAGTTTCAATTAAAGCTAAATCCCTCGAGATGCTTAATTTGGTTTAAACAGAGTTGCTTTTAAGCCAAGAACATACAAAACTGATAAATTGCACGTGTTGTGGTCATAAAATAAATAGTTGTGTTTATTTTATTCAAAACTAATAATGATATTTTCCCTGATTACAGATGAGGAGCTATCAGTGGATTACAGCCTCGACAGAGACATAAGAGACTACCACAAAATATATTGGGAAACAGAATTCAAACCTGTGGCCGAAAAGCTTCTTGATAGAATTCAAAGCCATTGCTCCTCCCAGCTATGACTATTACTCCATTTTAATTAGAGGTTGGCTAAGGAGTATTTAAAATAGCTGAAGTATTTGTAGGCAATGACCTAGTAATAGACACAAATAATATATAATAACATATTGAAAACAGTTACAAAATATTTTTATGAAATAGATGTACAGTTATTTATTTCTGAGGTACCTGTACGTTATCTTTGGTAGGCATGCTGGAGAACTAAGGAAGAGCTAATTTTTAAAGGAGAAGACCTTGACATTTATATACTGGATATCATTTGGGAGGAAACTTGTATGAAATTTCTGTATGTATAATTACTGTATGTATAATTACTTTTTACAATATGTTCGAGCTTATCAAGCAACTTTTGGATGTGCTTTGTCTAATAACTATATAGTTTCTTTGCTAGCAAAATGAAACAAAATTTCTGATTTTAAAATGTAAATTACCATTGGATACCTGGGTCTTTGTGGTACCGGAGGGCTATATACTGTAACAGAATGTTATGGGATACAAGCCACATGCACCTACAACCTTTGTCTTACATATTTAATATATTTTTAATATAAAATTCTGCAACTGAACAACCATAGTGCAAGTGGGCTGTTCTAGGGTGTTTTACTGCAGTCTTCATTCTTTTGCAGATGCTTTCCGTGGCCAGCAGGATCCTTGTTCCTCCGGTTGCGGATCCCGCGCGCTTGGGCTCCCTGGCCGCCGTGCTGGGGTGCAGGTGCAGTGCTCACGCGGGCAGCGTGTGGCGCTTCCTGCGTGGATCATGGTCGCCTCTGGTGGCAGCGGCCCAGCTGCTTGCTGACCTTTGCAGGCCTGACGTGTTTGGCTCTTCTCCTGCCACGGGTGACCAAGACGAAGCCGTTGTGCGGTCGCTGCAGGGCCCCTCGCAGCTGCCCTGCGCCCCCAGCCAACAAGAGGCGGGAAGTGGCGGCTGCTGCAGTGCATGGCGGCCTCTGCCACCACAGCCTGTGCAGGAGGCCGCTCAGCTGCTAAGAACAACTCTGCTGAATGCTTCAAAAATCTCAGTTACATTCTTTCTTTTGCGATGTTAGTTTTAGCTGAAGCTTAGGGAGAAGATGAACGGCTTCAGTGCCACATTTGCTTCTTGGAGAAGAGCATGGATTTTCTTCTGAGGGCGACTGTTAAGGAGGCTGGAGGCGCTTGTTGCTGGCCTCTGCGTCACGGTGCGAGGCTGATGAGCACCCTGTCGCGTAGTGCAGTGGGGCAGCAGGGGAAAGGGCCTTGTGGCCACACGCTGTCTGGAGGGCTGATCAGAACGGGCAAGCGCTGGAGATATCGGGGCAGGGAGCAGCCTGGAACACTGACTTTTTGCTCAAGTCCATGAGGTGGCAGTAAGGTAGGCATTTAAAATCTGTTAAGGAAAAGGTTAGTTGTTTCTGTCATTACCAAATGCTCCAAACAAAGGCTCGGAGCACTGTGAGAAGTGTCTTCTAACAGAGGCAAAATATACATATTCCACAGAGGGGAGAAGAGCTGGGGCAGCCACAATGTTAGACCTGAGGCAGCTCCACAGATAGCTCGCTCATTGAGGTGAAGCAGAGAGGGCAGCAGAGGCCTCAGCACCCCTGACTGCGTGCCCAGCAGTGGCTCCCTCGCTGCTGGGAGCTGCGCCGGTCCTCGCATTTCTCTGAGCAGAACTCATGGGTGACGGCAGTGAGTCTGGAAATACTCGATTTCTCATGTGCTCTTGTGGCATCTTCCCGCCATTTTATTGTCTCCGTCACAAATCTCAACTCAGAAGCTACCTCCCTAAAACGTTTCCAAGTGCAGCTTCACCACAGAGGGGTTGGGAAACTGAGCACTGATGGTGATGAGTGCTCAATGCTACTCAGTGGGCAGATGGATCTGCTGGGCTCCTCTGGCACGTACCGAAAACGCAAATCCTGTGGGTTCGGTTCTACAGGGCGTCAGATCCAGGCCTGCGCAGCAGACGCTGCCAAGACCGACTGTTTCCCTGGCCCTGCTGGGGCCGAAGGGCAGCGCAGCAGCCTCCCCCCCTCCTCGGGGTGTCACGGTGCTGGCCGTGCCCGTAGCGGCGCCACGGGGCTGCCGTGCTCTCAGCCCCCCCCTGCGGCATGGCGCAGGCCTGCGATGGGTCCGTGCTGCCTCGCGGTCCCTGCGCGCGGCTTCCCGGGGGCGACGGGCACCCTCGTGGCATTGCTGGTCGCTTAGGCGTGTCTTGGTTTTAACACTGCGCCCCACGGAGTCTCATTGCACTGGCAAACATAGGCAGAGCGCGTAAATGCAGCTCCGCGAGGAGCGGCCTCGTTAAACTGTGGTATCAATTAGCCCTGCCGAGGGAGGGAGGAAAGTCTCTGCAAAATCAGTAGGTATCACTTGAAGTTCCTTAAGCAGTCCAGTAAAAAACACTCTGAATTCAGTGCATGTGTTCAAGCAGGAGCTGCCTTTTAGTACATGTAGAGAAGCATCTGCTTGCTTGAGTAAGTTACTATCGTAAGGTAGCCCAATTTTTCTGCCTCCCAGTTTAGGATAGATGCCAGATGTTTGTGCAGCAGGGTTATCAGAGCTCCTTAAAGGACTTCTGCAGATAAGTCCTCAGAGACTCGTAGCACTTCCCTTACTGAAGGTTGGTCAACTGCTTATAAGTGTAAGTCACTTTCAAAGTGTGGAGTCCTATGATCTGATCTTAAATCATTAGTTCTTAAAACCATTCGGCTCCACACGGTGGAGGCGGCGCACAGAGCCACTCATGCTGCAGAGGTGGTGGCTGCTGCTACATGGGCCCTGCTCAGGAAGGGAGAGGATGCACCGGCACCTGCGTGCGCCTAGGGGAGAGTCATGCTTCTCGACAGGGGCCAGGTCCATCTCCGCTTTAAGGACAAAGCACAGAACAAAACAGAATCAGAAGTGGCAGGAACTTCATTTACAGTTTGGAATATGCTTTCGGTATGTCTTTAGGCACAGTTTAATGATCTTTTCCCTTAAACAAGGAAGTTTTGTTCTGTATTTTGGAACTTTAAAAATCCCATATTTTTAGTTAAGAGGAAATGGCAGCTGTTTCCTGTTAGTCACATTTCTGTGACAGTTTATTAATCGTTCTCTCCTAGATCATTTTAGGTATTTTTGTTCTTTGGGTTGTAAGCATGTAACTCTTCTCAGAAGGCCCTGCCATTACCCTGGGCTTTAATTTTTCACGTAGCGTTTGTGTGGGCTCCCGGGGAGCAGCAAGAATGGATGGTGCAGCCTTGTGCCTCAGCGGTGGGGGCAGCAGCAGGCAACGCAGCTCGTGTGACACGGCCTGGCCTGCAGCTGCGCGGCCTCGTGGGAGCCTCTGTCTGCACCAAGCTACAAAGCTACTGTCCTCAGGACACGGGCACCAGGTCTGTCAGAAAGAACTTCATCTTTTTATTATTTCTTTTGTACACATGTTCTGTTTGCATCCGGTGCCATCCCCCAGGAATGGGTGGCTGCTCTGTCTTCCTTGCAAGAGAAACTGCTTTGTTCCCTGACCTAGGTCTCAGCTGGCTCAGAAGTCTGAGTTTAATTCTGCGCATGCTTTGGATGAATCCCACTCTCTCCAGACTTGCAACTAAGGCTGGTGAGGTGCCCACCTCCTCTCACGGAAGCAGGCAGGGCTTTCTACGACACTGGGGCGTCCTGCAGCCGCACTGCACACCCAGCTTTAGGAGCACGTCCAGTGAGTCTGTCAGCCACTTGCAACAAGCTCTTCCCCTGCAGCACCTCTTGCCATACATTCCTGTCCCACTGTGTGCTGCTCGCTAGCATTCCTCACATCAGGTATCCTTTTGGCACTAACCCAAGGAAAGTAGCAGCCTCATCTGGAACCAAAAGTTTGTTTTGAAGGGTTTTAAAGCCAGTTGAATTCTGCAAACAGTATTTAAAGCTAGTTATGTAAAAAAAGGTGATTCTATAAAAATACAATTGAGTTCTCCAACTGTACGACACTGTCTGAGGAGAGATCTTGCAGAGCAGCACATGCTTGACTGCAGCATGGAGAATGATGAAAAGGAGGCAGGTACACTCATACTAGAGGAGATCCTGCTGTAGTTCCAGCAAAGAGCTAAGTGCCATTTAAAAATGTTTTTCTCCCAGTGTTTTAGATGTTCTTGAAACATTTGCAGTACGTCATTAAGAATGTTTGTCTCGACTATTTTGAAAGGTCTTTAGCATATACCAGATGTATGAATAAGGCAGCACTGGCCTTATAAGCCAGCCTTGTAAACCAACAAGTGTCAAGTTCAGTAACACAAACACACCCAGGGGAAAAGTTGTTACCCTTTATTTAAAAAATACCAATAATACTGACAAATTTAAAAAGCAATTCACACTCATACAAAAGTATTCATGTGTTCTCCAAAACCACTGTATAGTGAATGTCAGCATTTTAATCATGTTTTGATTTACTAAAAATAGATGTTTTTAGCCTAGTTATTTAAGCAACTGCAAAAATCAGTAAGACCAGCATTGGGCATGTAATACAGTAGGCCTGGTTGGCAGTCTAGAAAAACATTCCCATACTTTGTTTTAGCTCCTGGACAGGTATTCATCCTCGAAAAACAGGAGAAAAAGCTACTTGACACTTGATGTAGTTAGACATCGAAAAAAGCTCTGAGGCCTGAAATCCTCTCCTTTCCATAGGAAGACCATTGCACTTTGGAGCTCCCCAAACACCGCTGAACAAATGTCCTATAGCATTTTTAAGGCTAGACTACTCCAGAGAAGTGACTGCTATCTTCCCAAGTGTCAGTGTGGAGAGAGGAGGTTTAGTTCTGATTAAGAAATAAAGCTCAATAACAAGGCTTTTTGGAAACCACCCACAAGAAAGGCTCAGACAATAGCAGTGCTCACTGTCACTTTTAGCTTAACTGGAACAGCCTGCATCCGTTCACTCCACCAGCACAAATAGCAGCATCAAGATTTTCTAAAATTATTCTTGGAGGGAAAGCAAATCTCATCAAGTCCCACTTCTTTTCATGCTCCAGCTCCTGTTGCATTTGCTTTAATACAAGATTTATATATCTATCATTTGCTATATTGCCCCAAGTTCAGAGAGTGTTCCATGCTGCCTAAAGCCAAAATACCATGATGGGGCAGCACCTCGGCACAACTCTGTCATCTTTTCAACTGTCAAGCGCTGGCTGCCCCGGGGCAGCAGTGATATTCCAAACACTGAAAGAGCTGAAACTAAAGGAGTTATGGCACAATGGGCATCTGAATTTATGCTCCTGTTGGTCCTGAGGCTTCGTAGCTTCCCCTGCCAGCCTGCAGCTGCAGAAATTCCACCGTCACGGGGCAGCCGGAGGCATCAGGTCATGTAGCGAGTAATAGCTCTCAGAGCGTAAAGTAGTTCGGCTTGCATCCGAGCTTCTACCAGAAGCAAATTAACATGGACCTGCGGGAAAGGCAGAGAGTTTCGCTTTAAAAACACATGGCGGCGCCCAAGAAAGTTCCTGGAGAGAGAGGAACTGTGTGGGCTGTGAGTTTTCAGACTCACTTTTGCGTGAGCAGCAGGGGAGCTATCAGGGCTATCTTCTGAAAAAGGGAATATGAGCCAGCACTGCAGCAACAGGGCGCAAGCTACATTTAAGCAGAGCCAGATTTGGGGGAAGAGGTGCTGGACTCCAGTCGACCAACTGGTCGAGCTGGAAGAAATAGAGACACCTTTGAGCACACAAGTCCTGCAGCAGCAGCAGAAGAGGTGCAGCCTGCACATGAGTTAGAGTTGAGCTTCATTAATTTAACCAGTTCATTAAAGGCAAAAGGGTGGTTGATACTTGAGGAGCGGAGGGGGCTGTTAGCAAAGGAAGAGGCGAAAAGGTCTTTTGCCCCTGTGGGACAGAGGCAGACACAGACACACACAGGTGTTTATGAACAAGAGGAGTGGTTAGCTGAGGTGAAGCAAAAGAAAAAAATATGCCATAAAACTGTTATCTCTTGGCTATTCAAGAAGGGTTTGTGTGCTTGAAACCTTACCTCTATCACTCAAATATTCATTACTTGCTATATGAAGTATTTTATTTCCACCCTTAAATCTTCACAGCCACAGCACCACTATTATAACGGGGTATCTCTACACTATTTCCACAAGGGGTCTAATGGAAATAGAGCTGCAGGTGATGGTTGCAGTGACCGTAAGTCTGCTGAGACTCAGCCAGGAAGGCCCTGGGGCTGCAACATTCAGCCAGCAAACGTTCTGGGAAGAGCAGTAACGTCCGTCTGAGGGTTACTACAGCTCCTAACAACTCTACGGAGCACGAGCAGACTCCCGCTGCAGCTTAAAAGCCACCTTTAGGGTAGTGGTGGCTGCAGACGAGCGGCGAGAGCTGTGCGGCCCGCGCCTCCCGGAGCACACGCAGCCCCTACCTTCTCAGAGTGTTCAAACTGCCTCCAGAAGCTGTCGTACATTCGTTTTGTGGTCTTTTCGGGAGTGCAAACCACAGTCTTGATATAAACTTTAAAGCTGCGGTCCAGCAACTGATTAATTTCACCATAGTCGTAATCATCGTATCTGCACAAAGTTGAAAGAGACTTTCATTTTCAAGAATTGCTTTTTACACTTTGTTTTCTAAGTTCCTAATGGAAAGTAAATTACTGTGTAATTTGTACCACCACTGACCCATCCCCCTCATATAGCAGCAAATCAGTAAAGATGCACATATGGGAAAAAAGCCACAGCCAACATAAACAAATGTGACATGTGCAGAACCAAAGTGGCAAGACTGACCTTATTCCAAACATGCAGTGAATATAGTTCCAAATAGCTCGTCTGAGCATTGAGGTATCCACATCTTTGTGCATGGCCATGGTGTTGTAAGTCAGATTATAAGCAATATGAAACTTTTCATCAAGTAGTTGTCCCACATCCGGGTAGAGACGATTAACCAAGGAATAGCCGTGGTCTTCCCAGGAGTAATCCTTGAACAAAAATGCCAAATAGAGAATGTCAGAAATCGACTTTTGAAGGCCTAGCTAGTGCTTTAGTGTAATATGCTATACTATTTGCTATGCTATTTTACTTGGGGGAAATAACTCAGTGAAGGGATCTGGTCTGCCCCGTTTTAAGTCTTCCTGAACAGGGGGCAGTAAGTTCCAGGGCAGCCATTTCTTGCTATGGCACCTGGGGTAAGGCAGCAGGTTGGCACGATGGCCCCATGTTACCTGCACGCGGAAGGTGGGCACGTGCATCCCGTGCCGGGAGAAGTCCTTGTAGCCATAGCTGGTGTCCTCAAAGTGGCGGGACACATCTCTTGCTGGGGCCGATTCTTCATCTTCTATGGATTTCAAACAGAATTGCACAAATCTGGGTCAGAACACAACCTGGAAGGGCACTGGTGGAACCACTACAGAGAAACGAGGGCCTCTATGCTTCTAAAATGACCACACAGACCCGTATGTCTTCTGTGCTATGTTTATTTTAGAGATAAACTGTGGAAAAGTCTAAACGAAAGCTTGGCTTTTAACACACAAACTATCATTTCAGAGTCATCTCAAAAGCAATGTCTTAAAAACTTCAGCAGCTGCATGTTTTAAAAGACTTCTTTTTTAAAAAACACTGCCTTGTTGGGTTTGTGTTTCTCTTGGAGGCAAGTTTGGACATATTGGTCAGTGAATGTTATGGCATGTTTGACAGATGCCATAAACAAAACAAACCTTGGTACTACTTCACTGACAGGTGTTTTCTGCAGGACAACAGGGCACTCTCTATCTCCATCCTTTTAAGACAATGGTACTGGCTTTGAAACATCTAATAACTCCTTCCTTCCCCCTTCTCCCCCTGCTCTCCCCTGTCTGGTAAAAAATATTTCTTCAAGTAACCTAGAAGAGTGTAAATGAGTGGATAGGCTCTGTGGGAGCATCTCTACCTGAGGAGCACACGAACATGCTTTCTCTCTTCTCCCTTTCAAAACGCGTGGCCATCTCTTCCTGGCTGGCTTCTTCCTCATCTCTGCACTCCTGTAGCTGCTTCATCTTCTCCATAAGGGCTTCCACTTCACAGACAGACTCTGTAGGCTTGAAAACGAGACCCAAATACATCAGTTTCCTGTACAACAAGAACTGACTTTTATAGTAGAAGTCAGAAAATTTCAACTCTGGCTGCGTCCTTCTTTAAATATTGACTTTTCTAAGAAAACAGCTCTTGAGAGAAATCTGTACCAATCCAACAGTTCACATTTAGTCATCCTCTTTTCTCAGTTAGATCCCTGATATTTTTAGAGTATTTGAAGAGTCACAGCTTTTTGGAACACATAGTTCTCACCCTAAAATGAAAATTATTTCTCTTGCTTAATCTAAAAAATTAAGCAACTGAAAAACAAGGAGCTGTAACTGAAATTCTGATAGGGGAAGTAACCACAATTTACTACCCAACTGTATTTTTCTCCTCTGCTCACAAACGTATCAAAGGAAAAAGGAAGAGCGAGCATAAATGCAGGTTTTATGAAGCCTCATAAGTGCAAGCAGATCATGTTTCACAACAGCAGGTTTAACACCGTCGCAGCACACTGTGAATTCAGTATATCCTGGTCAAGGAAAAGCCCATCAGCACAAGGATGCAGAAAGGCCCCGCTGACCACTGCTGCTCAGGACACATATCCCGAAGCAGCCCGGGCCAGCTGGGTGGTGAGAGACAGTGGCAGCAGCGAGATTGCATCTCTGCCGCTTCCTCTGGTGGCTTCCTCTGTCTCACCAGTGACATTTCTGCTTCACCCAAGTGCAGCTGCTTACTCCTCACCTTGGCTATGCCCACTCCACTCCCACTGAGGAGGTAGGGAAGAGGACATCCGCCACGCACTAGGTTTACCTGGAAGCTGAGCATGGAAGAGGTGGTTTGGCGGCACACACTTACCGGGAGGCTCCCGGCAGGGCTGCCGTGGTTCTCCTCGCCCCCGTGATAGCCGTTGGTGATATCACATATGCAGTAGTTGCTGACGGAAGGGGGCCTGAATGTGTGGCCCCCCTCGCAGTCGATCTCCGGGCTGATTCCACACCCGAAGGTGAAGGATGCAAGGGAGTGGTAGTGCGTGAGCAAAACCACCGCGTGGACCAGCTCCGCCAGGGACCAGCTGTTCTCCTCAGTCTTCAGAAGTTGCTTTAAAAATAACACAAGACAGAAGTACTGACTTTTTAAAAAGTGGTTTGAATGGTTCCGTTACTGACTGCACCAAAGCAGAAATAATTTATCTACAAGCTTCTTTGCCACAGGAAGCTATCTTTCCAAGACCCACAAGTGGCTCAGTGTCCTGCTGCCAGGCTGCCTCCTACCCAGACTCACAGGGCGCAGAGGGGCTTCTCCCGCTCCGGCCCAGAGCAGTTACAGGCTCGGCTGTGGTTTTCACTCTGTGCCTGTGGGTTTCTATTAACGCCAGGCTCAGTCGTGTTGAAACTTCACACCTCAGGCGAGGCTGCAACCACAACAATCACTCACTTCATCAGCTGGTCCTGACTATCCCAGAAAACCCTGGACAACTCCTTGCCAATCGCCTGGGTAAAAACCTCATGTTAAGGCCGGGCTCCCTCCATCCCATGCCCGTGGGTGGGATGCTCTGCTTTGGGTGAGAAGTTTCAAACCCAGCTTCCCCTTGGGGCAGGAAAGCGTGGGCGGTTCGGGGCCTTCTGCACAGCCCAGCGCCCACGTCCTCCGGGCTCAGCTTAAAGGAGAGCAGAGGAGGAGCCGCAGGCAGGAACCGCAGCCGGGGCCAGCTCAAGCCTGCAGGCTGCACCTGGCCAACAGGGCACTGTAGCAGCAGCCACCGGCACGGAGCATCTGCCCTTGCCTCCCAGCCCTACCAAGCTGCGGTTGCATTTACTGGAAAACAAAGGTACATTCCACGTTATTTGGCAAAAGATTTACCTCAATATGCTCTTTGGTGATGAGCCAGGGTCGGTGAGCCAGCATTTTGTTCAGTTCTCCTAAGTTTTGCAGTTTTTGAGGTGCGTTTTCCAGGCCATTCAGCCACTTGGGGTCCCCGCCAACATGAAGGAAGTCATTCACATGGAGGTTAACAAGATAAGAGCACTGGTGTCTTGCTGCAGCCTAGGAAGAAAACACATCTATGATACAGAAAACAATTACAGTAAGTGAGTCTTTTATGACAAATACCACAAGTCATCATTTCCTCAAAGCATTCAAGACATGTTCAAAGAACAAAATAATAAAAGAGAGGGCCATCACAGTAGCTTGTTCTGATTATTGTTTTCACAGCAGAAACATCTTTCATTCGTATAAATCCTAACAACGCTGGCTCCAGGTGCGAAACGCCCGCGTGCAGGCAGGAGAGGCGCAGGCACAGATTTATTTTACGTCCTCTCCGCTGCAGAGGCAAGGCTGCCTCTCGCTGAGTCCTCACCAGCTAAAACAAAGGCAGGCTGTAAATGCCGAGCCAGAGACTGCAGGCGGCTTTTCAGCAGAGAACAGATCGAGCAGTATCTATCCGAGCAGCAACACCTGCCCCAGCCCAGGAAGAAAATCTTTAAAAAATGCAGCCTGAAAAGGCCAGACTGTTGCACTAGCAGGTTGGAAATTAGAAAAACAACCACTCTGACAGAAACATTCTTGTCCTCAATTTAGAGACTCAGAAGTGGACAGTGGAACTCCTGAGTGAGAACAAACGCTAACAAGTTGTTTTGAAATACAAATTCTGAGATACTAAGAAATCAAGAGTGAAACAGCTGTCTCATTTTCGTAACAGAGGTTTTTCTCTCTTCCTCACATTCCTACTGAGACTGTGAGCCTAAAGCACTGGCCTTAGGAAGCAATTTGTACAACAGACTGCAGCTCTAGGTGCCGCCTACCATGATGCCGATGTAGTGTCGGTAATGCAGGGGCAGCGGCCCATCCATCTGCAGCAGGTAGTGCTGAGTCTTGAGGAAGCTCTCGAGGTACTGCGGGTGGAAAACCATCACCAAAGTGACGTTGTCCAGGCGGCCCAACGTGGCGAAGGAGTCTGTGAAGAGCGTGTGCATCGCGGTGTCCTCACGCCCCACTTGAACAGTCTGAGTTAACAAGAAAGAGCAATGGGCAACAGCGTCTAACAAGTACCGGTATGTTAAATACAGTAAATATATTATCAACAGCAACCAGGGCCCCAGTGAGCTTCTGCTAAACACGCACCAGCAAGAAATTGTATAATGAATCTATTAATGGCATTACATCGGCGTACATAAGGTCAGACACGTAAGATGCTCTTTAACACCTCCACTTTGGAGGTCCCATCAACAAAAGCTGCTTTTCTCACTGACCTTTCACTTTTAATTGTTTCATTTTAACTTTCTTGAATGCCCCCAACTGATCTAACTTCTTTATTTATAGCAGCAGCAGCAGGCAAACTGAATAATTATTTTCACCGAGGAAAAGGAACTACCTGACCAAAACGAGAGATGGAGGCGTCGGGCTCTACAGTTCCTAGAAGCTGGCAGGCACAGCACCGACCTCTCGCCCGCTCTCACCGAACATGCATGGAAGAGATCGGCACGCTCAGCCACAGCTCCCTGCAGCCTCTCGGATTATTCAGGGCGGCAGCGAGAGCTCAAGGCAAAGTAACCCCCGAGCAGAGGGGCAGGGGCCGCGTGGACCAGTAAGAAATTACATCCGGACATTCGGCTTGCAAACAGACACCCTTACAGAAACAGGATTGGGTTTCTTACACTAGAGAGGAGGTGTCATAACCCTTCCCAAGGCCCCCCGGGGACCTCCTGGCTTTTGTACGTTAGAGCTGGGGCCAAAGTCTGGCCAGGACCGAACGCGATGGCTCCTGCAAATGTTTTGCAGCTCAGCAGCTGTCCTGAAACCAAATGTGGGTTACTACGAAAAGGCTGTTCCTTAAAAGCATAAAGTTCACTGTGTACTTAAAAACACCACCGCACCTCCTTCTCTGGGATGAATCTGCTTGGTCCGTGTCCCAGCGGTCTAGGAATTCTTATTCCGAGTTCCTAGAAAAGAAAATTACACCATCTCAGCATTCAGTTATAAACAACTTTTTAGCCGTGGCTGCAAGCAGGAAAGAATTCCTCATTCAGAGCTAGGCTGACTTGGGACATACGGTGCCCGGACATGGGGACTTTCACAGTACTGTTTGTACCAGCGTGGTTATTTTTCTGTGAGTGCCCAGCCACACTTGTTTGCAGCTGCTGGAGTGGGGCAGGACACCGGGAAGCCACGAGCAAAAGCCCTGCGCCCAAAGAGAGCGCACGCGAGCGCAGCCCTCCCCACAACCCTCCTCGAAGGCGGGCGCTGCACATGGCCTGTGCGGGCAGCGTGTCCGGGGCCGCATCCAGTGCAGAGCTGGAGCGGTGCCGCGGGCATAGCCGCAACGGGACGCTCCGCTCTCCTGCCGGGAAGCGCCGGGCCCGGTGCAGAGCCGGAGCAGTGCCGCGGGCACAGCTGGAGCG